GCCCTCGGACGGCGCGCCGGCGCGATGATCGATGATCCCGAAAGATCGCGCAGTCGCGGCGCACAAAGTCAGACGTGCCAGGCATGAATTTAGTATACGGAGTAGGTGCGTGCGGTATGATGTCATGCATGGGTACCTATACTCGACAGAAGAAGTACAGGGTATGAGAGAGAAGGAGTAGGTTGTCAGGGAAGGAGAGTGTGTCTATGAGCGAAAGCGCGGCGGTAGCGTGACTCATAACTATATGTCGCCGGTCAGGCTGAGTTCCTCACACACTCCTGCGCTTCTGCGACAAGCGCTTCTACCTGAGATCGTTTCTCCTCGTCGAAGCGCCCGAAACTCCCATCCTCGCACCAGTCACGGAAATCGGCGAGAGTGGTATAACACAATTGTCGATGGCTTTCTAGTTTCGTCTTGAGCTCGCGCTTCACCTGCCTGGTGCGCTCTTCAAGAACAGCTACTTCAACCTTCTGGGCGCGTCAAGTGGAGGTATGCGTACTATCATGCCAATCAAAAAAGGCCCATGGAGGTGCACCATAGCGCACCAGGCGCGATTAAACTTCGGAGATAACGTCGGCCTTTGACATCCACCGGTCGTCGAAAAGTTTGCGGAGGTCGGCACGCAAGAGAATTCTCAGAGACTCGATCTCATCGGTCACATCCGGTGTCGCGGGCGGTGGGGAAGTCGATTGGGGAGATGACAGAGTCTCGGAAGGCGTAGGCGTAGCTGAAAGTTTAATAGATTAGACGAAAGACCTCGACGGGAACCTCGGGCAAATGTGGGATAACATACATTCCAAGATGTTCCCGACAGTCGGGAAGGAAGTCGCTGGGCTGACGGTGGCCGACATTCTGCAGTCTAGAGTTGATCGAAGGTGGTATCAAGGGCACAAAAGGAAGTTCAGCGTCCCTTGTAGGTAGCGGGTGAGTAGTATGCCTGAGTTTGTCGCGGTGGGATGATGAAAAAGAGAGCGGTGGGGAGCGATGGCGTTCAGGGCATGTTTGCATTCCTGCACACCGGCAGCTACCGGACAGCCGCTAACAAGCCGAAGTTTATGCAAGCATGCGTGTAGGTATCCTTATATCAGCGATGAGACAGTTGTGAGCTTCATCGACGGCGAGGGTCAGCATGAGGCGGGCTCAGCATGGATAGTGAAGACGCGCACCAAGGTCCGGCTCGGTTGTCCTCGGTTGTCGGTACGAAGCGCTAGCAGTGTAGGAGGGGAGCACACATTGAAGCTCGACGACTGCGATGATACACCCAGTTGGTACTCAATTCCGCCGGTCTCCGTGGGTGCCCAGGGTACGAAGGTCGTATAGCGCATCGCTTGAGTTGAGTGACCTAGTGCGTGCCATCAAGGCGACTTCGTGAAAGCTACGTCAAAAGGGGAAGGGCTGACGATGGAAAGAAGTAAGCTGTATTTAGGGGCAACGTTTCTGCACGGGAAGCTGGGAAAGCGGTCCAGCGCGGGAGGGTCTGGGCCTCCGTGCTAGCCTGTGTAGTTGTGCACATCGTGTCTCGGACCTCGGCAAAGGGAGAGGAGGTGAATCTGGTATAAGGTACGATGATACATGGCGAGAGTGGATAAAGGAGATCGATACAAGGACGAGCTAGTTCACAAGCCATGGACGACACACCCTCAAGGCTAGACCGGAGAGACTGCAATGTCCCCACTCGACAGCGGTTGTCAAGTAACATATCTACACTGCGAGCCCCTTCACTTTCGCGCGATTGAGAGTCTCGTGTGCAGCCTCCTTCTCCGCAATAGTACGGCGGTGAGCAACTTGCTCGTTGGCGAGGTCCGTCCGTAAACGGGCTATCTCTTCCGCCTGGCGTTCATTCTCTACCGTCTGGCGTTCATACGCCGCCAGAAGAAGGCGAGGCCCGGTGACTGCGCCTTTTCAGAACAAATGCCATGATAGCGAGAGCGTGTGTAAATGGACGTACGGAGAGCTGGACTAGTGTCATCGGCTGAGATGATGCCATGTGCCCGCAATGATCGCTGCAGAAACGCTTCAACATCCCGTAAATTTTGAATTAATGCTTCGAGGCAGCGCTGGGGATCGGTGCAGTCTTCTTGCGAGCATGGCGAACGCTTGAGCGGCCGAGCCGCCGTAGGTGAAGTGGTAGACGTGGGCGAGAAGTCATCTAGATATATGTTATGAGACGTATGTAGCACAATGAAGAAACGACGTACCGTCATGAGCTACTTGTTGCAAGGAGATGGAATCCGTCGAGTCCATAAGCTCCAGCGTCGCGGGGGCGTAAGTCATTGGGTCGGAGATGGGAGTAGCCATCGTAGTTGCAGTGGTCCAGGGGAGCAGGGAAGTTGGAAGGTCTTTGCAACGCTCTTCAGTGCGCAGATGAGATATACCAGAGGTGGCGGTGGTGGTTCGCGGGGAAAGTGCAGTGCACCGAGCTCTGGTGTTCGAGTTCCATCGGGTCGGTAGCTGCCGGATAGCTGTCACGTCTTCGCATTTGAAAGTCGCATCTGCTCATTTTCTAAGTATCGCATTGGCCCATGACAATGAGTGAGACGCACACCGTATATCAGCCATCAATGGACGAAGGTCGGTGAGAAGTGCGCCCGGCGCTCGCGGAGGACTGCGTACTGAGATGCGGCCTTGACTTCAAGCGCTGAGTGACATGATTTGGATGCCCCACGCAAGGAGCTGCATGAGAGCTAAACACGAGCAGGAAGTAGATAGACCCAAACGTCGGCCTCAGTTCCACCGCTGCAGACGACATCCTCAAGGCGTCATTATTTCGTTCGATTTTCTGTGCAATATGACATGCGGACGTCTTGCAATGACAGGTGCGGCCAAGACAGAGAGTATGCAAACTCATAAGAGTGATTTGATTGACATGAAGGAGGAGGGAGCAACGGTGGTACGCTCATGGTGGAGGCAGGAAGCAACACGAGTTCGCCCGCGGGAACCTACTGCGCACACCGCGCGACGGCGCACGGAGGCCCCGCATGCCGCGATGGTCTTTGTCCTCTAACGCGCTGCCACATACGAGCTTGACTGCCGCGCGCTTTCGTATTCTACACAGCCCCTCCGGGGCGCTACTGGGGCTCTCTTTCCTAGTGGATGCCTCTCACCGTCTTCCTTATTGCCTACAGTGAGGCGCGCCCGATATTCTGGGCCGGCTGCGCCGGCACCCACCCACCCCCCCCTATTGGG